ATTCGTAGAAGAGCGGCCTGGACTCAAGAATTGCAGTGACTTACGTGGAGCCTCCTCATCACGACTTCCTGTACGCTTCCGGCCCTCAGGGGCTCGGTATTCCGCACTGGAAGTCCAGCTTCTTGTTTGTGTCATCAGGTTTGCGCCGATGGTAACCGCTGGCATGACTGAGCAGGTAGTGGAGAGAAATGAATGAGATCAACAACGTGTCGACCCTTTCGAACTGAGATCACTTATTAATGGCCAGAAGGACAGAGCCTCGTTGGAGGCCCTTCCGAACTCGGACGAGTGAGAGGGCTGGCCTCGAACTTGGAGGCTGAGTCCGCCTCAATACCCTTATGCTACCCATCAAGGCGGCTGTGAGGTAGTAGGACTAACGATAATTGCATCTTTGCACGTGGAGTGATTGGGCGGAAGTCCCCGCACTGCCACCACCAGGTGGCCGCCTACTCGGTATGACGCGCACCACTGGGCTTTAGCAGGCAGATTGGTAATTCGACAGCCAATTTGCGAGACTAGTCATGGAGGGTAAAGATCTGTAGAAGAATGACCTGTTGGTTAAGGCCTTGAATAAACTTTCCAATACATGTCGTCATGGAGTTGATGCTTTTAAGCTTTCCCTTGCTCTTCACATGTGTAACTATATATTAATTGCCTTTCCTGAGGATATTGCGAGGCAGAGGTACCTTGAGTAACGATAGGAATAAGTGCCATCGAGCGGGAGGAAAAAAGGAATTGGCGTAATTCATAGCTTTCGACGTGTTGGAACAGTTTTCGGTGTAGTAGTCTCACTGGCTTGAGAGAAAGCGGTGTATGGTGATTTACAGAGATGGGCTAGCAGTCAAACACAGCCACTAGGTTCAACTGCCACTGGACGTGGAGTTGTCTCTTCCGTATTACGAGTAGCAGAGGACAAAGCATCTTTTTGACACTACGATGATGCATCCGAACTCTGCGGGCGCACTCGTAAGGACGGCTCGAGAGACGTGACAGCGTAGAACTTTCTCTCTGGTGTTTAGGATTTCCTACAGTAATACTTCAATTAAATCACAATATATGTGGCGCTCCACAAGGTCAACACTTTCGTGTATCCTTGTGTGCGGCTCGGCACACTTCCAGGCTATGCCATACCTAATGCGGCAGCTAACTAAGTGCTTCTGTATGTGAGTCAGAGGCACTTTCGGGTCTAACCGAACAAAGAATTATTAAGAAAGACAATAACTAAAATCCTGTTAGATCGTATCCATCTTCACCTTTCTCCATCATCGACTCAAAGCTTACCGTAGATATGGCTGAAAGACCTGACCCTGAGAGGTTTGTACTTGTGGAGACAACTTTGCCAACGGTACCGTTACCCTCCAGTGACAACCGGAGTAGTATTATTACACAACGTCTGCTGTTGAGACCTTTAGAGGCGAGAGACCTAGAAAATGTGAATGCACTCCGTCGACAGGAAGATGTAATGAAGTGGTAAGCACAGTTTCAATTTTCACGAGCTCCTGATCATTTTGCATTGGACATTTGCAGCTTTCGATCGACCTCGCTATCTTCGAGATACTACCGACTATGTTGTGGCCCCATGCATCCTATATCCCGGTGAAGCTCAGACTCAATAACAATCTACCCTATAGGACTTCAGAAGGAAGGATTGACAATGACCTGGCCGAATCTCAATCTAAGCTTGCCCAGTTTTTGCCTCCGAACGATGCGGTGACATTGGTATATGCGATTTGTCAGAGACATACAGGCGACTTTCTTGGTATGGGTGGACTCGTTGCGCTGGAAGCGAACTTTGGCTGGCCAGCTATTTCGTATATATTTGACAAAGCGACTTGGGGACAAGGTTACGCGACCGAGTTTCTTCGCGCCTTCTTGGACATGTACCGTGGACTGCCACGATCTAAAATAGAGTTACGTGTCGATCCAAGAACTGTTGTTGATCCCCATAAGATGGAAGAGTGCATCGTTGCGAATACGGTCGGCACCAATGACAAGAGCCAGAAGGTACTCGAGAAATGTGGATTCAAGCGCGTACTGGATTGGCAGGGCCGGAGATGTACAATGTCCACCTTCCAGTACTTCACTTCGCAAACTATTATAACTGAAGGCTGAGGGGAGCAAGCCAATAACGCAATGAGAATCTAACAATCTTCACGTTCCTGTCGGGAACCGGGTGGCCTGTCACGAAAGCTGCTCCGATAGGGGTCGGCATTACACAGATCATTACACAGATATTCAGTCCACGACCTCCTAATTTGTTCATCCAATTTCGGGATCCATGAAATAGCTTCTAGAAATTTCCATGCATCTTTTGTTCCTGCTAAGCACTGCTTTACGAAAAAGAATGAAACGAGCGGAGAACTAAACTGAGCTGGAAGAAATCCGATGGCCTCTAAAATAGGAGACACTGCACAAACGAGAAGGTATTGTTGTGGCAGGACACAGTTCTTGACCTGATATGCGGATGTACCTATTTATCTGAACCCCATTGTAGGGCGGATATGTTCTATTTATCTAGGCGATGAAATATCGATATACCAGTATTGTCATTTTACTTGTGTAGTCTAGGTGTATTTTGAGACACACGTGTCGTGCGGATTAGCGGACGCCAACAAGCCGCATAACCATGGGGGTCTCTTCTGGCTCGATAAATGGTCGATCGCGATTTGCTGGGTCGACAGTATCATCTGGCCGTCGGGGAAGGGCATTATGATATCCGGCTTTCTCAGCGGGAATGACGTTCATTTGCTAGTCGTTTCAGTATTAGGATCAAATGAGTGAGTGACTGGAGAACCTACTGGCCAATGAGTTGTGCCTTTTCTTTTCGTGAACACCTCGTATTTTTGAGCCAGAGCCTCCTCAGACATCTGGCTGCGGGGGCAATAGCACACGTATGTGGCAAATCGTACTTGCTTTCCCAACGGACTTGAGTTCCTATGACGCTTGGATTCAGCAATCAACTTTCGAGGACACTGAAAGGGCAAGAGATTGCTTAACAGCTTGCTTCAGAGCATATGGCTCTGGAGCAAAGGTCGAACTTTGCACTGTGCCTTTGCCGCCAATGATCGAAACCTGAATATGACAGATAACGACGAACTCCAGAAGTTACTTACCAGTGAATTGTTCGAGAATCCCATACTAGGCAGATGATTAAGGATTAGCATTGGTATTTCTCCCAATACTGAAATCTGCCTTATCCACAAAGGCAATTTGGCATGACTTACGTATAAGATCCCCAGGGTCGGCGCAAATCTTGATCTCTTCGCAGCCGTGGTTTCGATACCACTCTATGTCATCACTTTTATAGTTGTACCCGTTTTGTCCCACCCCTAAATCTCCTTCGGATCGAAAGCCTCCGATGGCATCGAAATACTCCTGGTGTTTCAAATGGGAGCCCTTTAACACACAAAGTCCGCCATCTTGAGGGCCACAGGGGCCCAAGACAGCAATCCCTTGATAGAGTTCAAAATGATCAACAGTACGAGCATCCTGATCAATATCTGCAACCTCAACTCCATCAGCTCGAAGCGACTTGATAGATTGTTGACGGCTCTGGGTGCTAATCAGGACGTACGGGGCCATGGGGCAGTGGGTTTGATATCAGTTCTTCCAAACTGTTCATTGATGGGGAGAGAAACGTTCATTCCATCGAATGACGCTATTAAGTCATCGGTACCCCAGATTTTCGCAAATATGTCAACGATTTTGGGTTGTCTCAACCAAGAATTGGTAAGCTACCTGTGTAGAAGTTTGCAGAGGTTGGATCCTTACGCCCTGATTTTCCAAACAAAAGCTTCGTGATTTACAGCGTATCGATTGTAGAGGCCGCCGCTGAAGTCTTTCAGCAATTGCATCGTAGAACATGAACATCAATTCGGTCTTCACGGGATAGGACTTACGTCACGCTGTAGGGAAGATGTTCTGCCGTCCATGTCGATTTATCCTCAACCTTGAATCCGTAGGGGAACTTTTCAAGCCATTCTAAAGCTTCTCTGCGGAACTCAGCGCAGTCTGAATTTGATACGACTCCAGGCACTACAACAAACCCGTCCTGCTCGAGCTGGCGGAGCCAGATTGGTTCATTCATCATTATTTTCGATTAGTTAAAAAGGCTTAAACGAGATAAACCATGGCTCTATGCTCTACCTTTAGCGAGGCATTGTGATGAGACTGGTTAAACAAGAGATCTAGCTACTTCAGGGGCAAAACTAAGAAGAAGCCGTGGGGGTCAGTGGGTGTTGGTCTTGTCGCTATCATTGATTCCCCTAAACCCTTTCACGAGGCGCGAGAGGGGAAACTGTGGGGATTTGGGGGGAAGCACTAGGAGAATGTATCCGTTTCTGGGCGTAGATCAGCAGCGTGGGGGGCGGCCGGGTCTCGGAGCCGTCTGAATACCAAGCCCGGATTCGTCAAGGACCCCCGTCGGTGATATCGACCAGATAGCAACTTCCAATCTCCCGGTCAAAGCCGGCAACTTTATCAAGCATAAGCAGATAAGCGCTCTGAGACTCCGGCGTCTTTCCGACACCAAGGTGATAAGCACCCACATCGTGCTCCGTAGTCTTTCATCCAACACGGCTAAGGTGCTTAGTCGTGCCAGGTTACTGATCCTTTGTTAATGCGGTACGCCAAATAGAGGGAGTATCCATAATGAATTAGATAGAAAGAGGTAGCTCATAACCTGAAGTTCTATTCTGGCGCTAGCAATCTGTGTCTTCAAGAAACGGGATGGTAGATGTAACAAGAGCATGGAGTCGCATGCATCAGTGTCGTATTTTAGACCGACGATCCCCCCTTTACGTGCACGTCCACAGGACCAACCTTGAACCACATAGACGCGGGGAAGACTAGATAACTTAAGAGGTCCTTCTGGGTAGACCCCCCATCAAAGCATTGTTTCCATCTAGCAAACACTTCTAGTCTCCAGGGCCTAAACATCTTCGCTACTTCTGAAGAGTGATACGATGGCGAAGACAGACCCGCAGGAGCCGGTCGAACCCATGCCTGTCACACGGGCAGAGACCGAGAATGATGATGGTTTGAATAAGGTCGCCGCTGGCAAGATCACGGAAGTCCAAGGCGACTCACATTTTTACGAGACGATTACAGCAGCACCTCTGAATGCATGGTCTAAGACTAGTCTGCAGCTCTACGCTATTCTTCTCGTTGCTGCACTTAATGCTACAGCATCCGGCTTTGATGGGGTGTGTGCAACTACTTTGTTTTTTGTTCCGAGATGTACACTAACTTGTGCGCGTAGTCAATCTTCAGCTCGATTAACGCCATGACCCAATATCAATCATACTTTCATCACAAGGAGCTTGGGGCGACTACTGGAATGTGAGTCTGGTGGTAGGGTCAGTAGATCGAGCACTGGTGATACTGATATAGGTCGACAGCATCTTTATGATCTACACGATCGGTAACATGATTGGCTCTCTTTTCACTGGCCCCATCTGCGATTTCTTCGGTCGCCGAGCTGGTATGATGACTGGCTCTGTACTTATTATGGCGGGAGCGATTGTCCAAACCGTGGCGAAGAGCGACTCATATCTGCTTGGTGGTCGTTTTCTTCTCGGATTTGGGGTTTCCATTGGCACAAGTTCTGCTCCTACCTACGCACTCGAATTGGCGCCACCGCACTGGCGGGCCAGAGTTGTCGGATATTATAATACATGTGAGTTGAAGCACTGCTGCGAAGATGGATTGATGATAATGTATGTGTGCTGATTCACACAGTTTTCTACACTGGGTCTATTCTTGCCACAGGAGTCGCATATGCAAGTGCGAAGGCTGATGGAGAACTTGCGTTCCGCCTACCTCTAGGCTTACAACTGCTACCTCCCGTCTTCATCTTCGTCGGTGCAATTCTGGTCCCTGAGTCACCTCGATGGCTCACAATGTGGGGCAAGAAGGAACGAGCCGAACAGATCCTTGCGAAATACCACGGAGGCGGTGACATCAATCATCCTATTGTCAGACTGGAATTGCGAGAGTTTGAGCAAAGCATTGAACTGCAGAAGACGTCAAGTATCTGGAACTACTGGGCTTTGTAAGACTATTGACGAAAGTAAGGATGGCTTGAGTTCGCTGACAGATGATGTTAGGGTCAATACGCATAATGCCCGATGGCGTTTCACGATGATGGCCTTTATGTCATTCTTTGCCCAAATGGCAGGCAACTCGGTGCTCACATATTACCTCCCATCGATGTATACGCTTCTCGGGATCACCTCTACTGAGCGCCGGCTGCTCCTAACGTTCATGAATTCTATTGTTTCATGTGCCGGGGCTGTGGCAGGGTCTGCTACCAACGACCGTATTGGGCGCCGTACCAAGTTGTGGGTGGGCAGTCTAGTCCTTGCCGGGCTATTCGCCGGTGTGACCGGTTTCTCGAGCCAGTTTGAAGATAAGACAAAGACAGTCAGCACAAGTCTCTCCAACGGCGGTGTCGCATTTGTAAGCATCTAGCCTCCTTCCGCTACCCCATGGAAAAGATTAACCCTCCTTTAGATCTTCCTATTTGGTGCTGCGTATTCGTTCGTATATACTCCGTTGACTGCGACATACTGTGCCGAAGTCCTTGCAAACCACACTCGTGCGAAGGGCATGGGAATCGTAAGTTTCTGAACTTCGTCCAGAAAAATTGTCAAGTCTAATTTTGCAGCACGTTATTATGTCCAACTGTGCCAATTTGTACAACACTTTTGTCACAGCAGTCGCCCTCGAGGCTATAGACTGGAGATACTATCTTATCTTTGTGGGATTGAACGTTGTGTACAGCGCTGTCTGGTTCATTTTCGGCGTCGAGACGCGTGGACGGACTCTCGAAGAGCTAGATGAAGTGTTTGATGCCAAGTGGCCGCCCCGTGCCGCACTCAGGAAGGCCGTCATGGTTAAGAAGGACGACGGACACCTAGAGGGCATTGGGGGTGAGATTGATGAAGGGCGTCAGGCGTGAGATGTGAGTTGTAAACGGGTGCTGTCGTGGAGGATGATTATGAAAGTATATGTTGAGGAAGACCAACGAGGGAACTGGTTTTTGAGTCTCTGTATATATCTCTGTCACGATGTGTAATTTTGGCACCGAGCAGTGGAGAGATCGCATTGTGTAGCTAGAAAATTGACCTCTCTACGAGCAACATGCACCCAGAGAAATCAATATATTGATGATAATATGGTTGAACCTGCTTTTAGGGCACGGCAAATTGCCATGAAAGGTGGAGCAAGATGTATCATGTACTATTTGATAGCTTTGTGGACGTCGAACAGACAATCAGCCCTGCAACTTGAGAACCGAACTTGTCTATTAAATTTACCTGAGGCAGCTGTCTAATCATTTGTCGAAAGCTTCGACACATGCTCTGGAGGCAAGGTAATGGCTGATCTTTTGTTCATGGGTACCAGTTTTCTAGAATGATAGGCAGTCTTCTAGGCGAGAAATGTTCATCGCCGTGTATCTGCAGTGCAACACAAATTTCTCGATCAACAACTGACATTGATTCGAGGAATAAAAATTATAATTGGACTACCGCATCACCCTAGTGAATGACTCCCATACTCTCAAGTTGTCTGCCTGCTCGCAAATCCTGAACGCCGTTGTATGCTGCACCACGCTTCGGATGGCGACATGTGAGACTAAATAGTGCCTAGTGTAAGGAAAAGAAATGCGTGTAATAGGTACATAGAAGCTTTGGTATCTTTTTTAAAACACTGATGGCTGGTAACGTTCCAACCAGCTTTATTGGCCCAAAGACATGAATGAGATGAGGAGTCAGGGATCTTGTTTTGGCTGTGCTCCTACATTAGTTTTCCGTGGGTGTCCTACGCAGGGCCTCCCAGAGGCCCGCTGATGTTTCGGCTCTGATCCATGATTCTGCTTCCAGGGTTCAACAGTGCTCCGGCACGATCTTCTTTATCGTGCAAGCGGCTTTGAGATATATGCCTCTGATGCGATCCCTGGTTGTTGCCAGGACTGTAACCGTTTGTATGGTGACTAGGATTACCATTGCCAGCAAACCCCTTTTCCAGCATCTCACCCTCGTCTTCCTCAGCAAAGACTCTGCCCTCTAACCACTGCGTCGCTCGGGCACATGCGGTGTCCACCCAACGCATCCATGCCCATGCCGCGGTATATGTCACCGAGATAAACACGCATATAGCGACAAAGACATGAGCACGGCTGATGATGTGAGTGAACTCTTCCTTGGAGCCATCCTCGTGCACGGCGACCTTGCCTGTCGGGCCATAAGCGATCCAAATACCAACAGTGCGTAGAATCGTTCCGTGTGTCAAGTATACGGCAAAAGAGTGCTGTCCGAGCCATAGCAAGTACTTATTGCTGAGAGCTTCACGTAGCATCGGGCTAAGAAATATTGCGATACAGCATAGCTGAATACCAGCGGCAGTCAGACGACGTCGCGGGTCTGTACCCTCGGGGATCAGGAAACTCCCCTTCGGCATGCCCTCGGGTGGATTCATATTGACAAAGTAATGCTGGATCTGGCGAGACCATGGTGCCCAGTCCTCATGCTCTTGTGGATACGAACCAATATAAAGTCCGGTCAAGATAAGTAGTGGCGCCACAGCTAGGCTAAGGATGCGATGGTGTGAAGCAATGAAGTTTTGCGTGGGCCGGTGTAAGCTAAGATCAGCAAGCAAAGTTCCGAGGGCAATCATCGAACCAAATGTTTCTATCCAAGTGTTAGTTCGTGGCCTTCCAATGAACTTGTCCTTTGTGAGCAAGCATTGCCTGCGTGACCATCAAAGCTAAGTCCCCCCCGAAGCCACAATGTATGTCTGCAAGTTCAACTTACCAGTATGCATGTTTCGATTCATCCACCAGTACGACATCAGCAACAGATGTACAGTGACCCTGTACCGAAACCGCATGCCCATTGTGGCTGCAAGCACGATATATACCTGAAACGCACCAATAAGCAAAGGACGCATGGCCCACTGGTGGCGGTCATAAGGATTATCGCTGTTTGTCCATGTCGTAAACAGAGAATGAAACAGTCGTCGAACCTCCCGGCTAAGTGTTTTCCTTCGATCCGGTGCGTCAAATCGTACCCATAAGCTGTCACAGTGATTTGACGACACATATCCACCCATAGTCGTCAATATGAAGCTAATGAAGGTAGCGATCATTGCAGGCAGTATCAAGCGCGGTGGACGGCGAAAAGCCGACTTAGCAACGCTCACCAACGCCTCCCCTTGACCTTGACTGCCTTTACGTGCCAGCTTCAGAGGCTTCAGAGCACAGACAAAGCCGGTCAAGAAAGCAAAGATAGGAACACCAATGCGACCTTGTGCTGGCACCCGTAGAATGGGCAACTGTAACAGTCGAGCGGGAACATCGGGCGCATCCCTGGGGAAGAATAACGGGTAATCGAAGGCTCGCGCAATATGTGTCACCACGACTAGTACAGATGTTATTCCACGCAGACCCTAGAGGAACCATTAGAATAATCAGTCTCGGAGAATGCGCATAGGACGGAGCTGATCCTAGCAGGGCCATAGTATGTGTAACAGTGACGGAGCTGAGGCTGTGATTTCTCTACTGCGGGGGTCGGAACCAGCTCACCTCAACCCATTTGACGTTCTTCACGGACTGTTGAGTCGCCATTTTTATGTTGAATTGCCTGGCGGGCCGCAAATTACCAGATCGTAGGACAAATTCGTTTCGTCGTTGTCGAGTGTGCAAGGGTGAAGAGACACGGCATAGCAGGACAATGTCGGACAATCGAACGTTTTGTCGCGAGAGTCAATTGATATCCGAGTTAAGTCGAGCCTTCTAGGTGCTTCGGGATTCAACACAAAAACACAGCCAAGTGTTCGGTCATTTGGGAGTCTTCTTCGCAGGGCCGCTGGGACTCGCTCCAGAGCAGGCCAAACCCTCCACTTCCTCGGCAAAATAAGCAGAGGATGGTCGCTGCGCTGGAAGTTTTCAGGACCTAATGTATCAAACGTGACATGTAGTCGTAAAGAACACGCTGGAACAAATGAATGAATGGAAGAACGAACGAACGAACAAACCACAAAACCGGCGCAAATGGTCGGCTTGGAGAAGACAGTCCGGAGTTGACAACGAGCGACAGTGATGAGAACGGTCCGGGCGAATTATTAGTATTATGTACGTCCACTATGCCAAGCCCCGGTGGAAACCAAGACGCTGACAGCCAGGCTTAGGAGAGTTGATCGGTCATTAATAAGATACATGGGGCGCGTTAGTGGACACTGTGGTTGGAGATTGGAGAAGCCAGCCACAAATGCGCTTCTCCTGCGGGCGGCGCCAATCCTGTCTCGGACCCTGATTACGCTAGAATAAGGAGCTGCAGCAAGGCCCCTGTTTTTATAGGGCGGAAGAGCTTAGAACAGGATGTACTGTATGTAGAGGCCAAATGTGTATTCTGATACATGTGGTCAGCCCCGCAGAGACAGGAGGAGTCAAAAGCGTTCATAGTCTCTTGAATAAGGAGGGTGAAAGGAAGCAACCTCGCATGATGCCGATAATACTACAGCGTCAAGTTCTCAGTTTTTGTTTTAATCTTGTGTCCAAGTAAGGGAAGCTCTTCCAATACTACTACCCTACATCAGGGCACCCGGTAGGGTAATAGGCAAGGTGAATGCTGTTCAAAGGAGAAGCATTGAATCTCCGGGGGTACGTCAGCCCCAAGGTCTGAAAGCATCAAGCTGATTTATTTTAGCACACTGCATCTGCCACCGAAGGCGTGTCAGGCATGATGACAACCGTCTTATGGTGATTGTTTGCAAGTCTGTGCCTGCTATCGGTAGACCCCAGAGTAGAATGTTCATGGAGCTCATTTCAAGATCATCTGAACAAGTGAACACAAATGCGGTGAACCCGATGAGTTGCCACAAAACTTGCCTGGGGCTATCAAAACACTGAATGCCATCACGCAGTTGCACGCAGCTCAACCCAGACTGGACTTGGAGCACAACGGCCCTTCCTGTGCCCGACACTGTTAATTGCGAGTAAATCACTAACTCGGGGCAGGTATATGCTGTGCCGAAGAGCCGGCTCTTGAAGGGAAACGGTAGGCTAATGACGGTCAAGAAAACGCCAGGGCAGGGGGCGGCCTTGGCATGGCCAAGGGGGCTTCAAGGGTGCGAGGGTGCCAGCCGCCAGCGACGCCGAGTCCTTCAATGTCGCTGCTCGGCCGTCTTGGCTGCAGCCTTCTCAGTGGGTTTTGCAATGTCTCAGTGCTGACTGGGCGGGCTGCGGAGCTGCTATGGCCGGCGCCTCCTACTATGCACCTACTATGCAGTATGGCTCGGGCTCCTGAGACGGACAGCACGGGCTGCTTGGAGATGACCTCATCGCAATCTACTGGGCAGTTTACCACGCAGCGTCTCCCCGTTTTGGGAAGTCGCTGGGATGGAGAAGGCAAATGGAAACGGGCGAGCTGACGCTTGCCATTGGCGTGCGTTTTCACGAATGGAATACCCAGTCATCCCAAGCGTGCAATGCCTTGTAACGGAGACGCGCTGGAGATCAACTGCATAGCCTACTGCTGTATTGTAGGTAGGGAAGGTCAGCTTGGGGCCTCTCCGCGTGATCACACACGCGCCCCTAACCCCCCTATCCCCTATTCGCCATCAACGCCGCTCTGTGCTGGGAAGGACAGTGGTGACTCCGTCTAGTCGAGCACGGCACTGTTGCGCATGTTGCTAACAATAAGGCCATCTGCCAGGTCGTTTCGCATGTCTCTAGGAACGATGGAATTTGTGCTTGGATCAAAAGACCATTGCATTGGGTTGGAAGTAGCAGAGCCTGTCTAATGCTGCCCCTGTATCTGGTCTGGTTGGCCGAGCCACTATTACTGTCAATTGACACGACAATTGCCAGCACTCAGTCAGTCAGCCAGTCAGTCGTTGCTAGACAAGACTGCCACTTGTACGTCTCTACTCTCTTTGCGAGGATACCTTCTCGACTCT